ACGTGACCGCCTGAAATGAACCACGCGGTGAATGAAATGAGAGGGAAGGGGTGGGGGAAAGAAGAAAAAAAGCAAAAAAAAAAAAAAAAAAAAGAAAAAAAGGGGATGCATAACAAACATGAAATTGAATTTAGAACATTTGTTATGCGCATGTGTGTGTGTATGTGTGTGTGTGTCTCAGTGCGGTGCTCGATTGCAGTGGTGGAAGAATTTCAAGGAAAATAAAAAAAAAAAAAGAGAGAAAATTGCTCGTGCTTGGGGGGGGGGGGGGGGGCTTGCAAAGATGTGCATGTGATGTCTGCCAGTCGGCTCCGTTTGTCCGTGAAAGTGCACATGAATGACATGGCTGGCGGTGACGTCCCAACTGTTTTTGTCTTATTTATTTATTTGTTTATTTTTCATTTTTATTTTTTAACTCGTTTAACGTCTCTGCGACGGAGAGAAAAAAAAAAAAAAGAAGAGAGAAAAGAAGGGAGGTGCTGGACTTCCTGCATTGGGCCTCTGGAAATCATTTTGACACCGTCGTGTGCGTGTGTGTTTGTTTACTTCTTGAAAGACACGCACACAAAAAAAGTTGCTGCCCATGAAGCGCTTGACTCATCGCGGTCGCTGCCGTCCTGCAGGCATTTTGACCTGCAATGCATGGAGGAACTGGCGTAGAGTTTCGCGTGCATCCATGGCGATGGCGCATTTCTCAGACGCATTCATGATATTACATAACGGCCCACGCTCGCTACGGTGGGTGAGCACATCTTCACAGACCGCGGGGGAGACTGCCGCCTCCGCCTCCGCCTCTTGCATCCCGTCTTCTTCCGCCGCCGGGGATGACAACAGCGCCGTGCATGCGGATGCTTGTGGTGCTCGTGAGGCTTTTGCCCCAGGTGAGGCGAGAGAGCTTCATTTCCATGAGGACTTTCTTTTTGAGGAGGTGGACGTGCACTTCTTGCTGCTGGAGGAGGCACACAAGAAACACGGTGTTCTGCTTAATGTGCCGCCGCAGATGAGTCCAAGCGGAACGCCACCCGAAGTGCCGGAGGTGATGTTTCCGGCTGTGCAGCTGGAGCGACTGCGTGGGATGCAGTTGGCATACGAACCCACCCATCTCCCTCCGCCGCTCCACACCACAGGCACCAGAAAACTCATCATTGACGACGCCTCCCCGATGGTGACAGTCGTGACAAAGGCTTCCATAGCGTCTACGCCTACGACCACGAAAAGCGCAACTTCGGCGAAAGGCGGGGGTGGAACCGCCGTGTTGGTGCGGCATTTACCGCCGGACCCAACGATGCGGTTTCACTGCACCGCCTGCGGGAAGGCGTTTCGTCTGGAGTTCTCTGCAGAGCAACATGTGAAGTTGAAACATCCATCGGATCCAAAGGCGGCGGTGGGGACGGGGCCTGGAGAGGGTGAAATTATCGAGGAGGCCGTGGCGACAGCTGTGACCCCCACATCCCCTGCACGAACGGCGAAGGAAACAGCGTCAAAAGCGACTGGGGCGGAAAAGGGAGGACCGGGCGCCAGTGAACATGGAACCGCAGGAGGAGTAGGGGCGGCGGAGTCTGCCAAAACGCAGCAACCAAGTAAGGACGGCGGGTCGTCTGGTGCGGAGGTCAGCACTGCGAAGATGCCGTACAACAAGGCGACATTGGCTTTACCGAGTGAGGAGCTCGTGGATGAGCTCATTAAGGAAATTTGGGACGACGTTGCTGCACGTCGTGACGACATCCCCAAACAAAATGATCCCAATGCGTATGTTCCCTTTAACACCGTTGTGGAAGGCACCGCAGACCGACGAAAGGAAATAGAGGCAAATGCGAAGCCCACGGCCCGCGCCACGCCGGAGGGTGCCGCCCCGGGGATAAAGAAACCAAGTATGCTCTCTAGTGGCTCCATGAGTGCTGCAAGGGCGCAGAAACCAGGTATGAGCGTGCCTATAAAAGAACTTGTAAAAAAGTACCCGAACCCCTTTGGCGACTCTCCCAATGCGGTACTGCAGGAACTTGAAAAGGAGCCTATCAATCCGTTCATTCCACAGGAGGAGCTTGAGGCACAGTTGCAGGTGGCACGGGAAACGCCACCTTTGGCGTCCACACCAAACGGCGTGGCGAATGGCATTCCTCTTGGCAGTAAAACAAAGACTTCTAGCGTCACGGCTTCTGCTGCTTCTGTTACCGGTACCAGTTCCGGTAGGGTGCAGGATAAATTGAAGGATCGACTTCGGGCGTCACGGCCGAGTTTAACGCGGTCGGCATCCCTGCGTCGCTTTGTGTGCCCCCTTTGTGCGGAGAAGCAAAGAAAGAAGGCTGAGGCACAAGATTCCAATGCGATTCCTTCCTTTCGACTGCTGGACGCACTCTTTGACCACGTGGAGTCGGCGCACGAGGGGGAGGAGCTGTCGGAGGAGCAGCTTCACAGTTTATACAAAACGCAGCGGAGCTCGGCGTTACATGCTCCCCAGCCAAGTGACAACAGTGGAACGGGAAAAACCAGCGATAGCGCTGTCGACCCGAATACCCATGCGTTCAAGGACGATGACACGATTGGCATGCGTGAGGAAACAATACAGGATGCAGTGAAGGCGGCGTCGTTGCCAGAGATGTTGCAGAAGGCTGCCCCACCCGCAGCGGTGGAGCAAAAGGCACTTAATGTCCACGTACGGGCTGGGAGTAACACTGTGCTTCTGGGACGTATCGCGGATGTTCAACATGGTTTCATTGGCACAATGGCGGTGACGCAGTATGTGTTGGAAATTGACGGAGAGAACGCCACATCCAACACAGGGGACGAGGGTGCAGAATTGAGTCCAGAGAGCGAGAAGGAACTGATAGTCATCCGTTGCATGGGTGATAACTTCCCTGCCGCATTGCTAAAGGAACAGGTGCGGCTAGGCAGCACGGTGCTTGTACAGGGTACACTTCGCATGAATCGACACATTGATAGCGCATCAAAGCGACTTCATGCGTATCCGTTTGTTCAGGTGGTGCCACCACTTGGTTGTGTGAAGGTTATCGGGTAAGAGAACGCCTTGTAGACATGTTTTCTAAGAGAGAGAGAGAGAATGGGTGAAGAGGGTGGGAAAGACAGAAGGAGATAATGGAGAATTTTGTTGTCATGGTTGTTTTTTGGTCTTGATGAGAATGAGGATGAAAGAAAAAGTTTTGTCTGCATGTGTGCATGTGCGATATTTATTGGAGGTGCGGTGGAGTTGAGTGAAAGGAAGACCGGAAGGAATATATGCGTAGTATACACGCGCCATGCATTTACAAAGGGTGCAGGGATGGGGCGGGTGATTACGCGAAGGCAACAAGAAGGAAAGCACGACGTCTGCTGGTACTCTTGTCTCTACTATCATTTCTTCTTCTTTCTTTTTCCATTTTTCTCTCATTTGTTCCCATGCAAACTGCCACGACGTGCATACATGTATGCACCGAGGAAAGAAGAAGGGATACATCCATAATAGTAATAATAAAAAAAAAAAAAAAAAAAGGGGGGGACCCACCAAAAGCAAGAAGAAAACGAGTAACTGTGGGAGCAAAAAAAAAAAAAAAAAAGAAATTATAATGTCAGGACTTTCTTTGGCGCAGGCGCGTCTGCGTGAGGAGCGTAAGGCGTGGCGGAAGGACCGTCCATTTGGCTTTTGGGCCCGGCCACGCGAGAAACCCGCTTCCTCTGCGCCTCTCGCCTTCTCTTCTCAAGCTTCACAAGATGCAACAACACTCACATCGACCGCCGCTTCTACTGCGACGGCGAATGCGTCTTCTTCTACAACAGCCGGCAGCACAGGCTCCGCTAGCAGGAGTCACACCGCCCCTACCGCATCGACAGGAGGCAGCAGTAAAGACGCGAAGGGTCCATTGGCATCATCGACGGCAGCAGGTAGTGGTGTTAGTGGTGGTTTGGATTTGCTTGAGTGGGAGGCTGGTATTCCTGGTAAGCCCGGCACGCCCTTTGAGGGTGGTGAATTTCGTCTCCTGCTGCACTTTACAGAGGACTACCCTACCAGGCCACCCAAATGCGTCTTTACCCCGGTATTGTTCCACCCCAACGTATATCCCAGTGGTACTGTCTGTCTATCAATTCTGAACGAGGAGAAGGATTGGCGACCAAGCATTACCATTAAGCAGATCCTTCTTGCTATTCAGGAGCTACTTGACAATCCAAATATCAAGGACCCTGCGCAGGAGGAGCCGTATAAGGTGTACATGCGCGATCGAAAGGAGTATGAGGATCGAGTACGCCAAGAGGTGGCAAAACACCACAAGAAGCGTATGGTTTGAGGGAAGAATGAAGATGGTAGAAAGATGAAGAAGGGAAGAAGGATGGGATACGGGCCAGTGTGTGTGGGATGAGAAAGGAAGTGGGGAAAGGCTTTCAAAAGAGAGAGGATGAATGAATAGAGGAGGAGTAGAGGGAGGAGGGTTAAGTTATCACTGGCCCTTTGCTCCTCCCTACTCCTTTAACCGGGGCGTCGTTGGATGCATTCATGTACACTCACGCAGGGGAACACAAGAGGTGAGGTGAGGGGTGGTGGTTGGGTGGGTGGGAGGGATGAGTAGAGAGAATGCGTGCAGATTCAAAAATAGACAGTTGATTTGTCATTTATTATTTCTTGTTTTCCTTAATATGCTTCTTCATACCATTTATTATTTTACGCGATTAAAAAAAGAGTAGAAGAAAAGGAAGAAAGAAAGATAGAGAGAAGAAGAGGCGAAAAAAATGAAAAACAAACTAACAAAAAGGCATGGCTAAACGGAAGTTAACATGTCTTTACAACTTTCAAATTTTTTTTTTTTCCTTTTTTCTTCTTTTATGATACATAATAACCTGCGAGTGAAGAAAAAGAAAAAGAAAGAAAAAAAAAAAAGGGAAGAATAAACGTGGAATTGTTTCTGGTCATTCTTTACTGTGAAGTGCCTTTTTTCCCCCTTTTTTTTTTCCCATGTTGTTGGCGATGTGTCGTTACGATCGTGTGGGGGGATGCAGAGAGAGAGAGAGAGTGTGTGTGTGTGTGGTGGTGGTGGTGGTGGGGGAAAGGGGGGAGAGAAGAAGTACAGGACGGAAATGGGGCGCGCATCAAAGGACAAGCGGGATATATACTACCGCAAGGCAAAGGAAGAGGGATATCGTGCGAGGAGTGCATATAAACTGCTACAATTGCACGAAGAGTTTAATATTTTGAACCGAGATGACATTCAGACAGGCGTTGTGGATTTGTGTGCGGCACCGGGCAGTTGGTCGCAGTTGCTGGCGAGACATTTACGCGAGGAAGTGGGTGGCAGAACTGAGAAGCGGTCATCAGGCGCCCCACGTATTGTGGCCGTGGATCTGCAGGAGATGATGCCGATTGAAGGTGTCCAGTTGCTGCAGGGAGACATCACGAGCGAGGCCACCGCACGGGAGATTATTCGTTTACTTAACATCAAAGAAGACACGGCGTCAGTGAACGATGCGTATGTGGACTCTGAAGAAGATAAATTTGCAATACAAACAGACAAGGGAGGCCGATCCACAGCGAGACGCCCATCATTAGCACCAGGTGGGAGAAAAAGTTATTCCGATCATACAAACAGTTGTGAGAAGAAGGCAGATCTTGTTGTGTGCGATGGTGCCCCCGACGTAACAGGGATGCATGAGTTGGATGAGTACTTGCAACATCATTTGCTGCTGGCGGCGTTGAACATAACGACGTTTGTTTTGCGTTGTGGGGGGACATTTGTAACAAAAATTTTTCGTGGCCCCAATACGCCTTTTCTTGTAGCAAAGTCCGAGGTTTTTTTTCGGCATGTCATAATTGCCAAGCCTAGATCCTCTCGGAATGCCTCCATGGAGGCATTTATGGTGTGCCAGGATTATCAACCGCCCGCTGGGTATCGGCCTTCCTTTGATCGACCACTTACGACGACCACACGGTGTTTCACACCCGCCGCCCCACTACCCCCTGCTTTCATGCA